CCAGAGTGATTCCTTGGAACTGCAGTGGCCAGCAGAGGCCATGAGGGGCCCTAGCATGAAGGTGAAGCTGGTGAGGAGATGTCACCAGCAGAGACAGGAAGAAGACCCTGGCCTTGGATGACATCATTCCACCTCTGATCATTTGGTACCACATCCCATTATCTCTCTCTTTCAGCTGAAAACATTCTGACATACAGTGATTTCTTTTTATTGTTTTGTTTTTATTTATTTAGTGTTAATTGAGATTCATAACAGTTTACATCATTGTGAAATTTCACTTGTGCATTATTTCTTGTCTGTCACCTCATAAGTGCTTCCCTTCACCCCGTGTGCCTACCCTCCACCCCCTTTCCCCTGGTAACCACGGAAGTATTTTCTTTGTCCATGTGTTTATATTCTGCATGTAAGTGAAATCATATGGTGTTTGTCTTTCTCAGTCTGGCTTATTTCACTTAGCATAAGACCCTCAAGGTCCATCCATGTTGTTGCAAATGGGATGATTTTGTCTTTTTTCATGGCTCAGTAGTATTCCATTGTATATATATATACACCACATCCTTATCCAGTCATCGGTGGATGGGCACTTGGATCGTTTCCAGGTCTTGGCTATTGTGTATAGTGCCACAGTGAACACAGGGGTACATATGTTATTTTGATTGTTGATTTCAAGTTGTTTGGGTAGATACCCAGTAGTGGGATAGCGGGGTCATATGGTATTTTTATTTGTAGTTTTTTGAGGAATCTCCATACTGTTTTCCATAATGTCTGCACCAGTTTGCATTCCCACCAGCAGTGAAATAATTGGTTAGTGAATTGGGTAGATTCTGAGTTTCTTTTTTTTGAGGAAGATTGGCCCTGAGCTCACGTCTGTGCCAATATTCCTCTACTTTGTATGGTAGACATAAAGTGCCCGCCCTGAGTGTTGAGGAGTAAGGATAAGATGCATAGAGCAGCATTTCCCACACCTCGGGGGCAAGGGTCAGAAATGCAGTCCTGGCCCCTCCCCTGAGGTTTGACCCAGTTCTGAAGGGTGAAATTTCCCATTCAAAAATGAACAGTCACCAGAAGATGGGAGCATAAGCAGAAGAGAAGTAAATCCTCATCAGAAGAGGAATCCCACCGATAGGGTCCCCGGAGAACAGAGCAAAGGAGAAGTCAGATAAATAGTCCTTCATATTAAACACATGAAAGATAACACGGCCTCTTAGGGAAAACAGGCTTAAAGTAGATATGAAAGAGATTGGAGCAGAGATACAAAGTTACATCAGAAGGAGGGAGAAAGTGAAGTGGAGGAGCTCAGGAGAGAGAGAGAAAAGAAAGATAAAAAGGCACATTACAAGCTAAAAAAGAGGGATAGTATCGTGCAAGATAAAGTGGAAGAAAACAGTGAAATAACAGTGATTATGGAAAAGATAATAAATGAAAGGAATGATTATTCTGAAAAAGAAAACAGAATGAATGAATAGAAAAAGCAATAAGTTGTTAAGAGAAGAAAACCTTCCTGAGCTGGGGAATAGTTGAAATTTACATAGCAAAAAGGTCATATTATGTCCCAGCAAAAATGGCAGCAATCAACCCAAGCCAGGAGCTGGGGAGTTTGCTGAGCATCAGGCAATGATGCTGAGTGCATTCAGGCGGGGGGACCTGTCTCCTCATGGTGGGGGCGGCGAGGGGGCCCGGGAACAGGCTGGCTTCACACTCCATCCAGTTGTGCTGGCATAAAAGAAGGGGCAGATGTCTGTAGATGTGCAAGAAGTCAGGGAGGTGGCACCCAGCAGGCCCCTTGTACAAGGAAAATGACTTGATTAAAAACACTGCCATCCCAGAGATTAATCAAAATGAAGAATTCCAGAACAGAGAAGCTTGATAGAAATACTGTGGTGTGTAGGATAGAATTTAACTTTGCCCCAAAAGAAGTGTGGCTCTATCCTTAGCCCCTGAGAGGTGATCCCTGAGCCGGGATGTCAGGCCGGATAGGAGCGTCACTGTTTGCCTGAGAACCTTGGTCACACTGGAAAGTCTAACAGCGGGATTCCAGTAGGGAGTGGCGACACTGGGGTGATCTAGGGTGGGTCACCCTGGGGGGCTGGAGACTGACATCAGCCACGTGGGTGATCAGTCGCTCCTATATAATGGAGCCTGCAAGAGAAACTGGATGCTCTGGTCAGGGAGCTGCCCAGGCTGGCAGTGCCCCTGCGTATTGTCACATGTCGATGCTGGGAGGTCAAGGTATCCCGACTCCACGGGGAGAGGACAACAGAAGCCCACACGTGGTGCTTCCTGCCTCCACCCGCTTGCTGCTTCCCTTGGCTGACGTGAATCCGCATCCTTGACTATCCCAGGAGGGTACAGCTTTCCACAAGTTCTCTGGGTCCTAGCAAATCATCAAACCTGAGGGTGGTTTTGGGGAACACCCCTCAAACTTGTAATTGGTGTCAGAAGTGAGGGGGGTCTCCTGGGTGGATTGTGACTCCTCCACTTTTGCACGGCTAAACTCTTCATGTGCAGCACACATTTCAACACTAAAATACAAAATGAGGACTTCCACTTCTAGACTGGATATAGCGGGGAAAAATTCCAATGCAAGTACTTAGATATGTTGATTAAGCTAAAACAAACATCGTTTTAAATGCCTACCTGAGCATGTGAGAACTTGAAGGAACCCACTGTGACCAAAAGCTAAGAGGAGATTGAACGCAGAGTGGCCAGTGATCCTCGAAGCTGTGGGCTGCCTTGGAAGCATCTAGAAATCCCTTAAACCCAGAGACACTGGTTCTAACAGCCATACAGAAGAGAAGACCAGGCCTTGGGCCCATGCAGGCAAGATGCAGTGTCAGCACTGAGGGCCTGGGAGGAGCTAGAATCCCCGAAGAGCTATGTCCCCATGAAAGGTGTGGAAGAGAAAGGAGGGAGCAAGAAAATGGGTCCGTCCTGGCCTCAGCTTTGTGTGAGGAAGACAGAAAGGGAGAAGGAGGAGGAGGAAGATGAAGGGGGGTGGGGAGGGAGAGATTTCACCCCTCCCCCACCCCACCCCAGGAAAAGTTAAAGACTGAAGACCATGCTCACATGGATTTGGGGTCCGAGTTTACACTCCGTGACGAGTATCATATCAAAGCTGAGAATGATTTTAGTGTCTTTCCCAGGTGGCAGCTGTCCGGGGGCTCCTGGTGGACAGGAACACACGTCTCTCCAGAGCATTGACCCTCAGCGCAGGCCGCTCAGGATTCCACGGACCAGATCAGCCAGATATGAACTCACAGTGAAAATGGCGCCAAAACATGAAGAAACAATGCACCGTGAGCAAGTGTCAGCAGAAACGGAATGTGGAATTAGATCACCAAAGATGTCACACAGGGGAGTTATCAGGAACAGAATAAAATAAAAAGGGGTAGGTGTGTACAGAAATGAAAGAGAAAATTGAAAACACGAGCAGGAACACAAAATGATCATAAAGGACCAAACAGATTTGACAACCAAATACAACATCTCAGAATGAAAATACAGTTGTTAAAATTTAAAAAGTCAAAAATGGCTTAAACATCAGATTAGGCACGTCTGCAAAAGAATTAGTGAATTGGGAGAAGAGCTGAAGGAATTATCCATCGCAGACAGAGCTCAGAGAGAGACAGAGGTGGAGAAGAAGTGGGATTCCTCTCCCGCCGCCACCTGGAGACGAGCCAGGAGCCGTCCCTCTAGACAAGGCGGAACGGACAGAAGAACAGACACAAGGCTGGACGAGGTGGGCGGGGCTCCTCTACCCCAGAAGGCCCCCTGCCCAGCCCTTGAGTTGTCTCAGAGAGGGAATAGGGATAATTATAGGGGGTTAGACTGGACTCTGACTTGAACCTCACACTTTCCCTTAAAAACCTTGGCAAATCTAACATCCAGGAATTCACCCAAACCTGAGCCTTTTGGGAAGAGATCTGTTTCCAGTCTGTTCCGTATTGGCAAGTCACTTCCTGTTCTCCACTTTATCTCTATAATGACCAGGTCTCCAAGGACCCTTACAGCTCTCATTGTCTATTACTTTATGACATTCTGAGATGCTGGAGTTCATATGTGACCGTTAGCTCAACCTCTGTACTCAGGATGAGTCAGAGATCAAGGGATGCTTAGAAACAGCTCTGCTGACTTCTGCCTATGCAAAACACCACCACAGAGAAGTTCACCATTAGAGAATCATTTCTTTGGAGGTAAGCATTGTCCCACTTAGATTCCAATAAAACTTTTTTTTCTCCAATGGCCTGGAGAAGGGACAGATAATTCAAGCCGGTGACACACATAATGCCGTAATGGGAGTTATTTTAACAGATTCTTCTCAACAAAACCATACCTTCTAAGAGGGATCTACTGGTGGGAGGAAGGAGGGGAATGTGGGGGGCAGTCATCCCTTGAGGAGGATGTGAACTCTAGCTGGTCCTGGGATACGGGAGAAGCAAGTTTGGAAGGTGGGCGTTTCATAGTCTCGTGGCTGCCTAGCCTTGTGCCATCACCCCCAGGTCTCACGCTGACCAACCCAGCCTGTCTGGCCAGCAGGTGGCAGTGCAGGGTTGGAAATGAGCATGTCCACTGGCTTTCTTAGGAGGAGAGCCAAGAGTTCAGCTGGCTTCTTTTTAGGTTGACCTCAGTGTTCATTTTGGAGGAGACCATAGGCACTGGGGCAGCCAGATGTGGGGTACACTGCCCGATCCTTTGTTCCTGGGAGCTGGGTCCCAAAGCCAGGGTGCCAGATTGGTCTGGCAGTATCTGCAGGATGGAGCACATTAGGTGCGTCCTGCTGGAGTTGGGGGAGGGAGGGTCATTTTGAGGATGAAGTGAGATATGAGGGGTAGAAATGCTTTATGACCTTCCTGGGGCTGCACCCTGTGAGAGTGGGGGGAGCCTTCCAGGGGGCCTGACAGCTTCACGTGTGGGACACCTGGGCTAGGGTGGAAGGAGTCAGGCGGGGTGGGGGTGGCAGGGCAGAGGGGGGAGCGCCATGATGCTGGCGCAGCCCCAGGACATCAGCTCGTTGGGTGGGCGGGTGGAGCAGGGTCAGCTGGGACGGGGGAACCAGCCTCAGGCTGGCCAAGTCTCAGCCTCATTTCTCAGCTCTGTCAAAGGCTTGTGAAGTCTGTGGGGAGAGTCTTCCCTCCCAGTCCTGTCCGGGCGGCTTGTCAGTGCTTTTCCTCTCGGGCAGCCTCCGCATCCCTCACGCTGGCTCTGGAGCGACACGCTTGGCCAGCTCCCTTGCCTCCACCTGCCCAGGTAGCCCTCGAGCAAGGGAGAAAAGCGAGCTGCTGGCTTTGAGGATGGGAGAAGGAGCCAAGAGCCAAGAGCCAAGAAGGTGGGAGCGCTCTGGAGGCTGGAAAAGGCCAGGACACGGCTGCTCCCCTGGAGCCTTGGGAGGAGCGCGGCTCTGCGGACCCCTGGATTCAGCCCAGGAGACTTCCGCAGGCTGTCGGATGACCTGCTTGTTTGTTTGAAGCCAGTGGGTTTGTGACAGTCCGTTGCAGCCGCCACAGGAAACTCCTGTAACGATGGAGCTGGGAAAGCGGCTCTTCTCCCGACCCTGCCCCGTGTGTGCGCCCGGGTGCAGAGTCAGAGCATCCGCTTAGCAGCCGCAGCCTTCCTACCGTGTGACTCCAGGCAAGTCCCTCATGTCTCTGCCTCTCCATCGCCGCATCTGTAAACCGGGGTGATGGTTACCCCCACATTGCACCCTCCATGCGGGAGGCAGGTGTCCACCTCAGAGAACTCCTTTTGGGTCCGCCTGAGACCCAGTTCCCTCGGCTCCCTGGAGAGAGACTTCCCCAGGATCCTGGACCCCATTCCCGCCCTCAGTGCTGACACCTGGGGCCTTTTTTGGAGCGGTCCTTTGATTTCCTGTCCTAGCAGGCTGTGTGTGGAGTTGTCACTTCTATCACCCAAATCCTGGGGCCTCCAGGTTCACTCTTAAGGAACTTTGACAATAGCATCACGATCCTGGTTTCCAATATTAATTCTAACCCTGCATCCATGGGGTGCAGTGTTCTGCAGTTTGTTTGAACTTTTCCTTTGTTCCAGGATGGATTTCACTTTTAAGAAGCCTCTGAATGGAGAGGAGGGCAAGTGTGTTCAAAGAGGCTTTCCTCGATCAGGAGCGGGGCGGGGGCGGGGGTTGTCAGCAAGGTTTTGCCCTTTTGTTACAGGGTGGCCTCTGGAGAGAAGGGCGTGGGCGGAGGGACCTGCTCCGAGAGGGGCCAGCACCCTGGCTGGCTGTGGGGGAACTGGGGGTGGGCCTGGGCGGCAGAAGTCCCACCACTTCCCCTTGGAAGGTCTACCCTGTCTCCAGGGGTGCCTCTCGTGTCTAAGACTCACCAGTCCTAGTCAGACAGAACAGCAGCCTTGGAAAGAGCTGGCTTGGAAGTCAGGCTGACCAGGGTTCAACCCAGGCCGTGTCGTTCACCAGCAGATGATGTCAGGCAAGGGACTGCATCCTCCTCACAGTTTCTTCCAAATACATGCAAGTTCACACGTTTCCCTTCCTGAGAGGAGCTGGAAATTTAGACCTGCCCTCTCGGAAAGGGCTTCTGATCTGAGAGGAAGGTGTGTGCAGGGTAGCCAGGAGCACACTCTGAGGTCGCCCCAGCCAGGTGGCCTCCTATTCTGTCTACAGATGAGACTGGCTGGGGAGAGCATCACTGGGAAGCTGGGCTGATGGGAGAGAGCAGCGCCCACGTCCACGCAGCTAGGAACGTCTCTGCCAGGCTCCTGGCGCCCTCTGCTGGCCTCCTCAGGAAAGAGACTGCTGGTGGGCATTGCCCAGCTCTTTACCCTGGACGGAAGCCTGAGTTGGCCAACTTGGCTAAGAAACAGGGATCTAGACTCCACCACCACCCACAACATCTGGCCCCCAGAGCAGGAGTCCTTCCCTCTCCCTACACCCAGCCCCTTTGTCTCCCGACTTCTCTCCACAGCCGGTCCCGCAGCATCTTACTTTGGTTTGCAGAAATGCACATCCTGGGAAGATGGCATGTGGCACAGCATGGGGCATGCCCCTTCCTTCCCTCTAGTCTCCATGTCCTGTAATCATCAGCTTGGCCCTCAGGGCCCACTGTAACCAGGGGCTGGCTGGGCTCTGCTCTTGAGGGTGGTTCCTGCACAGAGGGACGTGATTTGAAAATCAAATTGGTGGGGCCGGCACATTCCATTCCTGAGCTGATCAGTTTCCAACCTGGGCATGCAGACGAGCCGTCTGCAGCATAATGGCCCTTGGAGGGATGGTCTGGGGGCACCGCTGGGGAAGTGGAAGGGCCCTCGGCAGGAACATGGACCTAACACTTAGTTTTGAGAAGTGAGGACGGCCAGACTTCTTCTGCTCCACCGGAAGGGAACAAGCATTGATGGAGCATCAACTGTGTCCTGAGCACCTGCCTGTACATTTATTCACTTACTCTTGCTGATCAGCTTGTGACACGGGTATTTATACTGTTCTGTTTTACAGAGGAGTAAATGAGGCTCAGAGGGGTGAAGTTAATGACCCCAGGTTACGCCAGTCTGATCTAAGCCCAGGATGTCCGGCTCTGAAGCCAGCATCCTTCCACTCCCTGCAGTGTTCCACCACCCTGCCCGCCCTGTCTCTCTCCATCATCCTGCTGTTTCTAACTTGTAACTTCTGACACTTCCAGATGCTCTCTCTCTCTGTCTCTCTCCTGATCTCACTTGCTCTCCAACCCACCCTGTGTCCCCGAGTCTCATGCAGCAAAGCCTTCCTGACAGACAGGCATGGCTGAGGTCCTGTCCAGCTCTCCATCTTTACAAACTCCACCGCATCTCCCAGCCCTGCCCCTGCTAGCTGTGCTCTCAGTTGCCCCTGAGCCCCATCTCATCTGAGAGAGGAGGCATCCATCCCAGCCTTGTGAGATGGGCACAGGGTCCCTGGGGTCGAAGCCCCTCGCCCCGGGGTGCACGTGGCTGGTGCTCAGCAAACACCGTGCCCCTTCCTGAGTGGGGTAGTGGCAACATCTTTTGGGGAGCAGAGGCTGTGGGAGGCAGGGCTGCTGGCTGTGAGGAGGACCTCTCATCCCTGTATCCAGTGTCCAGCTGGCACGTCACTGTGTGCTCTTGACCAACCACTCCGTGCACAGCATCAGGTGGTGTCTGAGATGGGAAGTCTTGCTGCCTGTGGGGCCTCACGCAGAGCAGCCTGTTCCCATGGAGACGCCCGGGGGACCCCAGGGCCAGGGTCTGTAGCTGTTCCTCTGGCCCTAGCAGCCCTGTAGTACTTTGGGTCTGTGGAAAGTGAGGTCCTTAAAATCCGTGCTTGGAGAGTCACAGGGCAAACCAGGAAGAAGCTCGGTGTTTCTAACACATCCACAGCCCAGGCCTCCCCTTCTCCTGCACCCACACCTCACCCGGCACAGGTGTGGCCCCTGCGAACGCTCTTCCCAGGCCTCAGGTGGCCCCAAGGTAATAATCAGGGATTATGATTATTGCCACCACTGCTTTATTTACCAACACGGTTAAAGGGGAAGCCACCTATCTCGAGGAGGGTGGGGGAGTGCTAATGCCCCCAGTGTCACTGTGTGTCCTGGAACACACTGGGCAGAGACAGCAGGTGCATGAGGGTCCAGTTCTCTGACCACCCTCTGGGGTCAGGTGACGGGAGAGCTTGGATCAAGGTGCAGCTGGACACAGTGTGGGGCTGCTGTCCAGGAGCATCAGCTGGAGTTTTGTCACTTGCCGCCTCATCCCGCAAAGCAGAACGGAAACAATCAAGGATGCACTGAGCACGTGCAGCACCGACAGCCTGCGTGCTTCGGCTCTGCTGCTTCCAGGTTTTGCTGAGTTCGCTCAGTGTCTTTGGCAATGCAGAGCGAGGGGCTAGGATGTCTCGCTGACTCTGGGTCACCGGACACAGAGGTGGACGTGTGGTGTGGTGGAGAAGGAATGGGCTCCAGGACCAGCCGAGACGGTCAGGACAAGGTGGGGGAGACCGGCCTCGGCGCTGCGGGTCCCCGGGGCTGCCCGTGCCAGGGCCCTTGTTTTCTTTCTACACCTCGGCTTCCCAGGCTGTCCAGTTTGACCTCGTGGTCTCTAAGGTTTATGCCAGCTGTGAAGTTCTGTGATTTTGGAAATCACTGAGAAGTAGAAAGAAAGTGTGATAAGAATTACCCAGGGGCTAAAACCGGCATGACAGGGATCACATTCTCTTTCCAGTGGAGACACCCCAAGCCGTGTGCTCACAGAAAGCCAAGCAGTCACATCCTCGTGGCCCCAGGGAACAGACTCTGTGCTTGAAAGCCAGTGCATGGTTCGCGGTGGCCCAGCCTGTTGTGTCTCTGACAGGTGGTCGGAGTCCGAGCCTCCTGGAGATGCTGGTGTGTGAGGGGCTGGGCTGGGGGATGCAGGGCGAGGTCTGGGGCTCAGAGGGCTGCCAGGGGCTTGAAGACCAGGAATAACCATGTTTCTCACCATTCCTGGAGACCTTAGCGTGACAGAGTCCTCTATTTTTAGTGGGGAAAAAAAATAGTGTAAGTAGCTTTAGCCCAGAGACAATTCGAGCACCTAGAGCATCTTCAAAGCCCTTGATTGTTCGAGGCTTTTCCACGGTGTCAGGTACTCTTCACACGGCTGTGTTGACAACCTCTCTTTGACCATCTCTTCTACTGACCCTGTCCTCCGTAGCCCGTCCATGGCCACACACACAGACACACACAGATGAAAGCCTGGATTATCCCTCGAATGTTCTAAATTGCGACGATCTCCTTTCCACCTGACTTACCCCTGTGATTAAATTAGCTGTGGGAAGTTTACTAATTCCTTTGCCGAGTGAAAAACTCAGTCAGTTATCCCTGGGGGCTGATAGCTTGCAAGAGGGTGTCCTGGAACGATGCTTTGGCATTAAGTAGGTGTCAGTGACGATGAGCCCATTAAACAACATTTGGAATATGTTCTGTGCATTCTTTGATGAAAGGAAACTTCGATGTTCTTCCTCTTTCATTTTGATCTTCTTTTCCCAAAAATACTTATAGGATTAGCCTGTGGCACCGGCTTTGGGGGTATCTTCCTCTGTTATTCAGCGTGAGCACATGTGTGTACGCACATGGGGGCGTGAGTGGATGTCTGCGTGTGTTTACACTTCATCCTGATTCTAAGTCCTGGCTCATTAATAATGGCTGACTGCATCACTAAGGAGCCACTAAATATTGTACTACTTATAAGTAATCCGTTGCCCAAGGCACGGGGCTACTTAATGAAGCCTTGAATTAATGTGTAACTTGAGAAATACATCATTCTACAAATATAGGTTACTGGAAGCGTAATTTAAGCTGTTCTGTTTACTTCACTACTTGGATGAATACAAGGGAAGAAGTAATAAGTACAATAACAAATAAAATGTATGAAGCTAGGCATTGTGCAAATTACTTTTTTATTACTTTTTATTAATTTTTCTCTTCGGTTGTCATAATAACCCCATAAGAGAGACACTACTCCCATTCCCTCTCTGCAGATGAGGAAACCGAGGCTCAGGTGTGTGTCCCTAGTCCAGGGTCCTGCAGTGGATTCAAATCCAAGCGCATGTGACTCTTGTAACTACTGGATCCTGCATCTCTTGGTGGAGAGAGTGAGGCAAAGAGCGGGTTTGTGTGCTAGGATGTCAGTTATTTGCCTAAAGGTAAATGTGGAGTTTGTTGCCTAAGGGGCTGGTATTGATGGTTGGAGGACGCAGTGGTAAACGGGACATCGAGGAGAACCACGCAGTTTTTATGGCAGAGACCTTGGGAGAGAGAGATGGTCACTCAGTGCTCAGCGAGGTGCAGCTGGTGACAAGCTTTCTACACCTTGAGGGCTGGTGGCCGGGATGACCTGTTCACTAACCAGAGGTGACGACGCGAGTAGAGCCCGGTTCAGGGGATTCGAGGTGAATGTGTGTTTCTAGAGGACGTTCAAGCCAGACTCATAAAACTCTTGGACCTTTCTTCGGGGACAGCCTCCCAGGTTTAGCTGGGCGACCTTCTCAGAGTCCCAAGATGAGGCTGACCCTGTGCTGGCCCCTGTTCAGGGAGGGCTGAGCCCCACCTACAGTCACTCCCATGGCCTGGGATGACACAGATAGAGGCTCTGTTCTGTGGGCCTCAGGTGCTTCCTGCTCACCCACGATCACGTGGGACTGAGCTCTGCCCAGGTGTCTGCCTAGCGCACGGCTTGAGCCCTTGGAAGTGGTACTGCACTGAGAGGATGTACTGAAGACTGCGCAGGGGTATGGATGGGCAGTGGAGTGTTGGGGACACACTTGGTGGATGGTGGGTGACAGGCTGGTCCATCATCCAGTGTGCTCTGGTCTCTGGGCCTCACTCTTTGGCAGATCATGGACTCATCTGGGAGATCTGGCAAGGATCTTAAAGATGCAAGCCCCCTGGGCAAGCTGGGGCCCACTGTCATTACCCCACTGGCTCTTGCCCCTGGCTGGTGACAGAGAAGACAAAAGTCCGGATCTCTTAATTCCTGGCATTTTGACATTTGACATGTTTAGCCAAGCACTTGCCGTGTGGTTAGCACCATCGTCTTATTTCAGGAGGTCAAGAGCAGAAGTCAAGCATCCCCCAGACAGAGGAGGGCCGTCAGTGGAGGGCTCAGAGGAGACCCTTGTGTGTTTAGGACCAGGGCTGCAGACTAACTTCTGGATTCTGGAGCACCTGGAGCCTTGGGTGACCGAGGAGCTCTAGAATCTTGAGTCTGGAGGGGAGGGAGGAGACTCAGGTGAAAGGGGCCGGCTCCCTGGTTGGGGGCGCCCCACCCTGCACCTCTCTTGGGGAAGATGTGGCTGCCCTCCTCTCAGCTGCTGGTGGCTTCTCCAGGCCACTTGAGTGCCCTGGGAACTGTCCAGCTAACAGTCGGCTGAACTGCAGGGGCAGGCGTCCCATCTAAGTCACCCGGGCCAGAGAACGGCCTGTGGTGAGTGAAGTGGAGACCTGCCCCTGGAGGCGGGTGTGGGGACCAGAATGGGGACCTTGGAGGGGAGCCACTGCCATGTTTGACCTGTAAGCGGTTGCATTCCTGACGGCTGGTTAGGTTAATGAAAAACAAGCCCAAGGGCCTGAGGAGGCCCTCGGTGGGGTGGGAACTTCTTGCTACAGATTCCAGGTTTCAGACTAAAGTGACATAAAAGGTATAGATGGTTCAAGCTCCTTCTGTTATGGATGTAAACTTGGAGGCCCAGAGCAGGACAGTGACTGACCCATGGTCACAAAGCTGGTTACAAGTTGGGCGAGGAGCCAGATCTCCTCCCTGCTGTAGCCCACTCTGTGTGACAGTAGTTGCATATATTCAGACCCAGATGTTGTTACTACCAGCTGCCAGTGTATGGAGTCTTTCGGTATCATTATCTCATTTTAGTAACGTTATTAAGTATTTAAGATGTGCCAGCGCCTGTTCTCAGTGCTTCAGATTTATTTTCCTACCCTTTAATCCTCTCAGCACTCCTCTGAGGCAGAATTGAGCCCCATCCCCTTTCCCAGATGGGGCAGTGGAGGCCCCGTCGACAGTGGGAGGCTGGGGCTCGGCCGGGTGGTCTGTCTTGGGAGGCGCCCTCTTGGCCACTGCACTCGACGGCCACCTCGCAGACCTTTGCTTGAAGGGCCAGGGTGTGCGCTTGGCCTTTTGTGTTTGCGAAGGGTAAGAAGAAAGGAGAGAGGAAAGGCCTGGGGAGGGGAAGCAGGTGGAAGGGGTCAGGTGTCCCTGGAAAGCTCAGCGGTGGGTCCTCTCAGCAGCCCACCCAGACAGGCCACCCTGCAACCCCGCTGCCCCGAGACCTTGGGCCAGTTCTCTCAGCGGCCCGGCCTCATGCCCTCACCTGCAGTGCGGGACTCTTTGGCATGACTCTTGGGCGTGACTCCGCGGGCGTGACTCCACAGGCTGCCTCCCAATACAGTGTCCCGGCTTAGCAGAGGTTTCAGGCTCATTACTGTCCTCTCAACTTGTCTGTGTGTTTGAACATTCCCATAATAAAAGATTTCCTTAAAGTACAACAGAAGATGGCCTGTCCTCAGGAAAGTGCCGAGGAGCCGCCTGGGGTCTGAGCGCAGGAAGGTCTGCGGGCCGCTGCCAGGTGCTGATCCTGGCTGGGGTGCTGGGAAGCTCTCGGTCAAGGCAGCAGACATCCCCTTAACTCAGGTCCCCTGACCTGCCAATGCTCCCCGCCCCCGACCTGCTGACGGACGCCTGCAGCTAAGAGGCTGCTCCCCACAACAGGGGCAGCAAACGGTGGCCACAGGCCAGATTTGGCCGGCCGCCTGTCTTTGCAAACAGTTTTCTTGGGACACAGCCATGCTCATCCACTTCTGTACTGTCTGTGGCTGCTTTCTCACCGCAGCAGCAGAGTTAAGTAATTGTTACAGAGACCCCATGGCCGGCAAAAGCTGCAAACATTTACCACGTGGCCCGTACAGAGAAAGTGTCCTGGACTAGACTGCTCTAGAACATCATCGCTTCTGCTCTCACCAGCTGAGTTGTCTGCTTGTCACTCAGTTGTATCTGGTTCTAAACCAGTTTGTGCCGCTTATACTTATTATTGTAAGCAATTAAATAGTGTATAGATCAGTGAAATAAGAGTGAAAGGAAAGTTTATTACCATGAAAATTAGGTTAAATGCCTTGGAAAGACCCAATAAACGCAAGTCACTATAAACAATTGCTCTTAAATCGGGTAAGGGCAAGTGAGTTGTATAAAGTTGGATGGGGGGGGCGTCAGCACACAAATTAAGAATAATTTTGTATTCAGAGAGCTTTGTAAACATCTTTCAGGATGACTCTAAGGACACTGAGACTGGAAATTGTGGACAATGTCCTGTAGCTGTGGTTTCGCATGAAAGGTGACCCGCACTGAAGAAATCCATCAAAGTTTTGGAAAACCCAGGTGCGTCTGTGCTTTGGAAGGAAAACAAGGTTTAAGGAGGACAGACATGCATGTGGTTTTTGAAACATGTTTTATGGATCTCGACTTAAAGTAATTCTTTGAAAATGGCCCAATTACTAGTCCCAGTAGAGTCAGATATGAGGGCTTATCCTGTAACAGAAACCCATCCTAAAACTGCTTTTGAAAGAGGAAGCTTCCCTTCATATCCTTCTGTTCTTTCCGTCTTCCCTTTGCAGCCCCTCCCAGCGTGGAGAGTCTGACCTGAGGGAGAAGGGTGGGGGTGAGGGGACTGGGTGCCTTGTGGAGGTGTTGGCATGGCCTTTCCCAGGCTGCAAGGAACTGGGACAGAGGGGGAAGGGTGTGGAGGCGGCTGGAGTGGCCGGAAGATTAGTGACACTGAGCTAATTGATTGAGTTAATTGATTGAGCAGAGAAGTAAATACGTCAAGGGAATGGGAACCAGTTTTCTCACTGTCTGAGGAGGGGATTCGAAACCTGAGACGAGAGAAGGCTGGTAAGAGCCCCGGGGGTTGGGTGGAGGTGGAAGCATCACAGAGCTTCTGGGCTTTCGATTGCATTTACCCAGATAGTTAACGGAAATAGTTATAGATACGTGTGTATGTGCGTAGTGATGGATGCACGTGTTCACTGAGAAATGAGGAGCAATGATACCCCAGTAGCAGTGAGCATAGCTAGCACACAATCTTCAGAATATAACTGATGGAATAAACTAGGAATCCGTGAGTCCATATGGATACGAGCAAATAAATGCACATGTGAGCAATGGTGGGGGCGGGGGAAGGTCTTCCTTACAAGAGAATGCAGCTAATGAAGGGAGAAGGGCTGGTGGAAATAGATAATCACCAGCTGGCACCTATCACAGTGGTGGCTGACACAGGCAGGAGCCATCAGTGGACCCTGTGGTTGGTGGGTGAAAGTTTGATGAAGAGCAGAATATTGGCATAATATCGGGCTACCTCCCCACAAAGTGCTAATCAAATCCAGAGGGAAAACCATGGCTTTGTTGTGGAGAAACCAGGCGGACACCAGCTTGACCAGATGATGAGGGGTGGGATGCGGACACAGTGGGCCACCTGGTGCGATGCACGGAGAAGAGCTCAGCAGGCGTCTCTGTAGTTAATTCCAAGAACGTAGTGCCGGGTCTGCATGTGTGCACACCCCGAGTGGCCTGAGGTTGAGATCATCCTGTGGAGTGAAAGTCCCGTACTCTTAAAACTCTCAAGGCAGGGGAGACAGGGAACAGCCGAGGAACCGTTCTGGATGGAAGGAGACCAAGGAGACGGGACAATAAACACAACGTGTGATCTCGAACAGGATCCTGGGCCCAACAGAAAAAGCGATTCGTGGGATAGTTGGTGAAATTGGAAGGAGATCTATGGACTGGATGGGAGATTGGTATCAATGTTCATTTCTTGATTGGAGGAATCATTCTAACGTGGGAGACTGACAAGCTACACACTAGGGTATTTAGAGGTTATGAGCAGAGAAAGAGAGAAGTGGAGTAAAATGTTAACAATTGGAGAATCTGAATGTAGAGTATGAAGAAGTTTTCTGTGCTATTTTTGTAACTTTTCTGAAAGTCTGAAAGTTTAAAAATAAAAAAATCACTTAATTACCAAAAAATTAAAATAAAAGAGCTGGCAAAAACTAAAGATTCTTGAGTCAGACGGCCTTCAGGCATGGTTTGCTCAGGGCTCCAGCTCGCTTTTTCTGTCACACTCTCAGCTCTGCCCTTCTCTGTAAATTTTATCCTCAGGCTGGTTTCCTTTTGATCCCAATGTGGCTGCCAGCAGCAGGGACTATCGGCCCCAAACTTCAGTGGGCATGTTAGTTACATTGATTGGACTAATCCAGATGCTGGATGTGTGTGAATCCCACCCAAAGCATAGTGTTGCTGCATCCTGGTGAAGGGTGGCTCCCCAATGGAGAATGTGCATGTTCTTGGGAATTAACCTGGGTACTTAACCAGTGAACGTTGCTGTGTGTTGAGCAGACACCCAAGAAGGTGAATTTAGTGCAGATACAAAGGACATGAGTAAACACTTGTACCAAAAGAATTGAAATTATTTTCTAGGAAAACATAAATTATTCAGAGAATGAGAAAACAAGCCATAGAATGAAAGAAAAATATTTGCAAAAGACGTATCTGATAAGGTCTATTATCCAAAATATAAAAAGAACTCTTAAAACTCAACAATAAAAAATAAACAACTTAATTAAAAATGGATAAAAGATCTAAACAGACACGTCACTGAAGAAGATGTACAAACAGCAATTAAGCGTGTGAGAAATGCTCCATGTCGTGTGTCATCAGGGAAATGCAAATTAAAACATCAATGAGATCCCACTACACACCGATTAGAATGGCCAAAATCCAGAACCCTGACAACACCGAATGCTGTCGAGGATGCAGAGCAACAGGAGCTCTCATTCACTGCTGATGGGAACGCAAAATGGTACAGCCACTTTGGAAGACAGTTGGGTGTTTTCTTGCAAAACTAAACATACTCTTACCGTATGATCCAGCAATCACATTCCTTGGTTTTACTCGAATGAGTTGAAAATTTATGTCTACCCAAAACCTGTGCACGAATGTTTCTAGCAGCTTTATTCATAATTGCCCAAACTTGGAAGCAACCAAGATGTCCTTCAGTAGGTGAATGGATGAATGAATGTGGTGCATGCAGACAATGGAATATTATTCAGTGCTAAGAGAACTGGGCTATGAAGCCATGAAAAGACATGGAGAAACAGTTAAAGCATATTTGAAGTGAAATAAGCCAATCTGAAAAGGCCACATATTGTATAATTTCAATGATATGACTTTCTGGAAAAGGCAAAACTTTGGAGGCAGTAAAAAGACCAGTGGTTTCCAGGAGACATCCAGGAGATAAGAGAGAGGGAAGGATGAATAGATAGAGCATAGAGGATTTTTAGGGCAGTGAAAAGACTCTGTATGATAATATAGTGGTGGATACGTGTCATTATATGTTTGTCAAAACCCATAGAGTGTACAACACCAAGAGAGACCCTAATGGAAACTATGGACTTTGGGCGATAGTGATGTGTTAATGCAGGTTCATCAATTGTAACAAATATACTACTCTGGTGCCAGGATGTTGATAGTGGGGTATGCTGTGTGTGTGCGTGGGGGGAGGACGGATATATACAGGGTATCTGTACTTTCCACTCAATTTTTGCTGTGAACCTAAAACTGCTCTGAGACACAAAGTCTGTTAAAATATGTACAAAACAAAACAACAATTGAAAAGATAGTCAAAGCTCTATACCTCAAAAGACAGCAGGCCCGGTCTTATAAGACTGGAAGTTCTACTAAACTTTCAAGGAAGATACAATCCCTGTGTAATAGAAACTGTTCCACAACTTAGCAAAGATAAAGATCTTCCTGCCTTTTTTTTATGATCCTGACATGCATATATCTTAGGTTAAATATTAGCATAGTGAATTCACTGCTGAATTAAAAGAAAAAATGTACCATGACCGATAGAATTCTTCTCAGTAATGCAAGGAAAGTGCAAGATTGACATAAAGGAAACTCTAAAACTAGATGGAAGGATGTAAAAGACCTGAAGAAATGGAGAGACAGGCAGTGTTGTAGGAGAGGGAGATGTGACTGGGTCAAGAGGCCGTGTCTTCCCAAACCAATGTGTAAGTCCACAAAAGTAATTCTAATCAAAATGCCAACAGGATTTCAGTGAAGCTTGACAAGATGACTCTTTTAAAGTTCATCTGAATTAGAAATACATAAGGATAACAAAGTCAATTTTGAAAAAGAATAATAATCAGGAGGTATATGAACTATTTACCAAACATATTTTGAGGTTAAGTAACAAAATATTGAATATTCATTCATCCAACAAATATTTATTGAATACTTACTATGTGTCAACATGGTTCTCTGTGCAGGTGAGGTAGGAACAAACAAAATGGTTAATGTCCTTGCCTTCTTGGAACGTGCATTCTAGTTGGGGGATGAACAATGACTGAACCAACGATTCCTTTTGTACAGCAGTCAGTGATAGGTGCAGCTCGGGCCAGGGTGACAGGAGTGGAGCTGGTGAGAAGTGGTCCAATTCTGGAATATTTTGAAGGTATAGCCATCAGGATTTGCTCATTGATGTCGATGTGCGGTATGTGAGGGAGAGGAACCAAGAATGACGCAAAGGGTTTGGGGCTCAGACGCCAGAAGAACGGAGCTCATGGACTGAGATGGAGGAGATTTGGGAGGGGCAAGAGAGAGGGAGTGCACAAGTTTGCTTCTGGTCCTTTGGTTAGAGATGCTCACCAGACACCCAAGAGCATTTGTCCAATAGGTAGTTGGAGCTGAAAGTTCTCCAGCATCAATGATGATAATAAAGACCACTCAATAGCCACCGGGCCCCTGCACAAACAGGGCACTTCCCGGGGTGGCTCGGAGGTGGGCGGCTGAAGGCTCTGCACAGTTCACTGATCTCCAGGCTCCTTGCACTGTTCCCTCCCCAGTCTCAGTCCCTCTGGCTCATCTTGCCACTTCTTGGCCGCCCATCAGAAAGGTGGATAGAAGCAGAATAAGGTGGGCCAGAGGAGGGGGAGCAGGGAAGAGTGTGTGTCTCAGCAGACTGACTTGTTCTGCATTTGAATCAGTTCACAGGAAGGAAACTTGAGGAGGGCTGTAATGAGATCTGGAAGGAGCCCCTCCCCCCTCGCAGGCCAACGGACATCCTGCACCTGCTCTGAGCTGCAAGGACCAGAGGATTTAGCCCCAGATCCTGTAACTGAACCCTGAGCCCTAGACTGACCAATAGTTGCAATTTCTAACTCCAGAGGAGCAAAAGAGAAAAGCGCTTAAGAGACAAAATGAATCCAAGAACGCCAAGGCTCTTAAATGGGAAAGGTCAGTTAGGAAATGCCTCATTAAGAGAAGCATAGATTAGAAAATAGATCAAGAAAAGATGATACTTGGTAAGTTTAATGTAGAGG